ATAATTATACATGTTATATTAATTTAAAGATTGGCATGAATGACTTATATAAATAAATAATTTAACCCAATGGTTTTTTTTTTTCAAAATATTCATTGAAAAATAGTGTCTTTATAATATGAGACTCCACATAATCATACTGATATGCATTATTTTTTGTTTTTTCTGTTTCAAAATAATTGTCATTTTTAATTTTAAATTTATCTCAAATTAATTGTTGTTTTTTCATTTTTAAGATAAAAAAATATTTTTTTTATTTTAATCCTATCATTATCTATTCATTTTAATTAATAATCCAATAAAAAAATTTTGTCTTTTATTTTAATTTTTAAAGATATTATAGATCAATATAAATATTGTCTTTAAATCATTAATTTTTAAAAAAAAAAAGTAAAATAATGATAATTATTTTGGGACAATAAAGTAATTTTATTTAAGATGATGGATTTGAAAAAAAAAAAAAGAAGAAGAGAGAAAAAGCTAAATTTCGAAGTCTGGGAGGCGCGAGGCGTGCACCAACATAGAGCGATGAAGGAACGGACGAACAAGGAAGCATGCTTCGGGGAGCCAAATCATGAACTACTTTAAATCCCCATAATGCCCTTTACAGATTTTTTTTTTCCTCTTCTGATATTGCCCTTTAAAGATGTTGATAACTACTCATGTACATCTATAGCATGTTGGTTTAAGGGAAATGGAAGGGAGGGTAGAATGACTTTTCTTAACAAATCAAATTGTAATATTTAAAATGTGTATTAATTTGATTAGTTATTGATATTAGAAAATATGCTCCTTACATATGACATGATCCAACTAGTCTACATGGACTCGAGTGGTAGCTTTCATAGGCTTCGGGTTACCTCACACCTAATATAAAAGGCTCATCTAAAGAAACCTGATCGAGTTGAATTTAATGAAGAAACTTGATTGAGTTGAATTTAATGATAGTTCTTAGGGTCTTATTTAAGAACATCTTAGGTGAGATTGACGAAATTAATTTGCCTGACCCAAATAACAATGATTGAGCTGAGCAAAACACTCCGAAGTCATAAGACTAGTAGTAATTAAGGCAAAGTGAACAAAGGATAGTGGAGCCCACACAAGGTTTTGCTTGCCACACTTGGAGGTAGCCTCATGTCCATGTCAACACCTATACAAACCGTTACTTATTTTTCAAGTGGTCATTCTTTGTCTTTTTGCCATATGGCACCTTTCTACTGATAGTTATACCTATTATCGTATCTTTATGTAGGTCAAATTTCAATAACTATACGAACTAAACAAGTTTCTATCTTCAACAAAGTAGGCCACCTCATCATTATAAAAGGGGATTTTTATATAGATCCCAAGGTAATTCAAACTCCTTCTCCCTCCTTCAACCTTCCTCTCCTCCATTGTTGTCCTTCTTACATCTTTACTAGAATATTGCTCATTTAATTATTAGAGTGCATATGCTAGAGACCACCTCTAGTTCTCTAGCATGCACTAACGAGCTTTCTTTTTGGTTGCATTGAAGTTAGGTTTTCGAAGAGGAATCATAGCTTTACTCATTTATTCAACAAGTGTAAATGGTTGAAAAACTCAAATTTACCTTAGCACTAATTTTCTAATTATTAGTTACGACTCAAATAAAAAGCTTTGAAACTCAAATTCTTGTTAATCCTTTGCTCGTGACATCTCCTTCCACTTTGTCACCAATCTAATATCGTTCAAATTCTTTATTAACCTCTAAAACTCCTAACATTATAAAACCCTAATTAACAAATGCAAAAACAATTCTTTAATAATTTGCATTTTCTATAACAACTATCATGAATTTTTCCTAATTCTGTCCTTATACAAAATCAAATTAATAATTAAGTCCCTTCGCATTCACTTAGATATATTTGAATTAGTATGTAGATTCATTTTTAATAACATATCAAATTATTATTAACTTATTATGTAGTTTATCATTATCATTGTTATATATGGATATCAATTAGGAAAGCATCATTATTAAAGCAAGTGTGTGATATATTGATGATGTAATGGTTGAAATACCCTTGTTGCACCTTCTTAATAAAATTTACCCTCTTTTGCCAATGAAAAAAAAAATTGAGAATCCTCCCGTAGAAGCTTGTTGTGTTACTTGAATATTTCTATGCAATAACCCTAATACTCTGATGGCAATATCCTTTTTGTGTGGAAGATGTTCTAATTCAAATCTTAGCAGTATGACAAGCAGTTGGGTAAGTAAATTAAAAAAAGTTACATTTTATTGTGTAATCATAATTTGTTTTCTTTGCAAGCAAAGAAAAATTCGTAACCACAATACTTTGAATTATAACTTTATATATACTATTTTTAGTTATGTAATTTAACGGTAAAATTATCTATATTTTTAATTAGAAGTTTAAATTCAATCCCTAATCCTAAAAAGAAAAAACATACATACTTTGAGTTAATTTTGTTTAAAGACTTTGAGGGGAGGAATTTTGTAATCCATCTCGTCTACTAGAAACATGCCCATTATCAATGGACCAAAAAAGCTCAAGTGCAAACTTCCTCTTGCATATCTAAAAAATGAAAATTTTTCTTAAAAAAATGAGTGCTTTAAAAAAGAATACTATTATTCTTTTTGTTTAAAAATAATTAATTGTAGTTTTTTTATTTTTTATGTAATATAATATTCAAATGA